AAAATTTAAAATTTAAATCAGCCATACAAAAAGAATCTACTTATTTCACTAAAAATAAAAAAGCTAAACCTAAGAAGTTGATACTGGGCTCCTACATTATACTTTTAAGGCTACAAATAAACCCAGGCCCAATAGCTTAAGAAAGGCTAAACCCAAGAAGTTTATACTGGGCTCCTACTTTAAGCCCAGGCCCATTATATTTTTAAGGCTACAAATAAACCCAGGCCCAATAGCTTAAGAAGGCTACGTGCTTGTAGATGAATGAACCCATTTTCCCATATTCCTATTCTAAAACACATCACTTATGTTTAATAGGTCGAGGTAGAGTTGGATTATATTTTTGAAAATTTTTAGGTTAAATTACAAGTTAATTCACCGGCTTCTAAATGGTTTAGCAACAAAGCTTGCGATGTTAATATACTCTGTCTCTCCTAAAAAATTCAAAAAATGTAGTCCAAAGTGTGTTAGGGAAAGTCTACTGCTAGTAGATATTGTATTTTTTGGGTTTTTAAAACGTATTAGGAAGAGGTTTACACACTCTTATAAACAATGTTTCATTATTCTCTCTAATCGATGTGGACTGTGAGACCCCACATCGACGGGAGAGGAGAACAAGTGCTAGCGATAACGTTGCGCCCTGAAGGAGAGTGTATGGTTGAGAAAAGAAAACGAAACAATTATTTATAAGAGTTTGGATCTCTGTCTAAGGACATGTTTTAAAAAATTTAATTTATTCTTAGCATAGGAAAAGGTTAAAAGAATCATAATGATAGTGCTCTAATCCCAAGAAAAAAATGAAAAAAAGAAAAGAAAAGAAAAACGACGCTCCTAATTTTGAAAGAAAAAGACAAAATCCAATCAGTGGAAGGCGGAGTCGGATATATTCTGTCAGCCACTCAAATCACTGAACACCACGCCACTCTGGCGCGTCAACGAATCTCTTTGCAGTTCATAGAAAAAAACAAAAGGATCTGATTGCTTTCCATCTCAGTCCAATTTCAACTTCATTTCCCATTTCATTTGGGTTTCATTTGGATTTCTTGGTGGGACGAAGGAACCACGCTTTGGGTCGAATTTGGATAGCCAAAGTGGGGCCTGCATTTCACTCTGCTTTGACTTTGACTGTTGCGGTGAAGCCGCTACGAAGAAAAGTCCCACCTTCCTACCACTTTCCTTCTTTCTTTACCCTTTTGTGCTCGTAATCGTCTGGATAAAACCCCCGTTTCCTCCATTCTTAGCTCCTCAAACTCCCTCCTCGATTCGAGGCCTTCCCGATTTCCCTCTTTTCCCCTTTTGCGCTCAGTAATTTCAACCATTCCAGCTGTTCTTTGGCTCAATTTACTTCAGGTAGGAATGTCGTTTCGATTTTTATCTTGAATCGATCTGTTCTTCTGGCTTGTTTTTTTTGTGTTTTCCATGTGGGTTTTGTTAATTTTTGAGTTTCTGTTCTGGATTTTCGTGTTTTGACTGTTTTCCATCTTGTTCTTCTTCTGGGTCTGTCTAGAAGTTGTTTAAAAACGACATGTCAGTGGAATTAATTGCTTGAAACTTCGTTTTTCTCTGGAATATGCGAGGAAATTTTCAAATAAAGTTCGATTGCGTTTATGAAATGATTTTTTCTTTGAAAACCCATCTTTCAAACGCGTGATTTGTATAGGTTTCTTAGCTTTGGGGGTTTAAATCTTGCAGGAATTGGATGTGTAGTGGCTCAAAGAATAAAGTTGCTTCCTCGAATTCGGCCATGGACGCCAAGTTTCAGAAGCTTAACGATGGTTCTTTCTTCTCTGCGAGTTCAATTTTGCTTGAACTATCGGCTTCTGGTGATGTAGAAGGGTTCAAGAGAGAGGTTGAAGAAAATGGTTTGGATGTTGATGAACCAAGCTGCTGGTATGGCAGAGGAATTGGATCAAAGAAGATGGCTTTTGAAAAAAGAACTCCATTGATGATTGCTGCCATGTTTGGAAGCTCCAAGGTTGTCAAGCACTTAATTGGGACAGGCAAGGTTGATGTCAACAGGGCTTGTGGTTCAGATATGGTCACTGCTCTTCACTGTGCCACTGCTGGTGGCTCTGGTTCTTCCCTTGAGACCATCAAGCTCTTGCTCAATGGATCGGCCAATGTTGATTGTGTCGATGCTAATGGGAGAAAGCCTGTTGATTTGATTGTTTCAGCTTGTAGGATGGTGAGTAATTCAGGAAGAAAGGCTATGGAGATGTTGTTGAGAGGAGATGGTATGGCTGGGGAAGGTGATTTGAGCCTTTACCTTGAAGAAGACCAGCAGAAGATTATAGCTTCCCCGTCTGCAAAAGAAGGAAGTGACAAGAAAGAGTATCCGGTCGATGTATCGCTGCCTGATATCAACAGCGGGATGTACGGTACCGATGATTTCAGGATGTATACCTTCAAAGTGAAACCTTGTTCGAGGGCATATTCGCACGATTGGACCGAGTGTCCTTTTGTTCATCCTGGTGAGAATGCTAGGCGTAGAGACCCCAAGAAGTACCCATATAGCTGCGTTCCGTGCCCTGAATTCCGTAAGGGGGCTTGCCCAAAGGGGGATTCCTGTGAGTATGCACATGGTGTCTTCGAGTCCTGGCTTCACCCTGCTCAATACCGAACCCGACTCTGCAAGGATGAGACTGGCTGCAACAGGAAAGTTTGCTTCTTTGCTCACAAACCCGAAGATTTGCGCCCTGTATATGCTTCAACAGGCTCAGGCATGCCTTCACCCAGATCTCTTTCGAGCAGCGCAGCGGATATGTCTACCATGAGCACATTGACTCTTGGTTCGTCATCGTTGTCATTACCGACAACTTCAACACCTCCCATGTCTCCCTTAGCATCAGTGTCTTCCCCTACGAATGGAAACTTGTGGCAGAACAAGATTAACCTTACCCCTCCTGCTCTGCAACTCTCTGGTAGTCGGTTAAAGACCACCTTGAGTGCAAGAGATTTGGATTTTGAGATGGAATTGCTCGGGTTGGAAAAGAACGCGAGCCAGCTACAACATCAGCAGCAGTTGATCGACGAGATATCTCGACTTTCCACTCCTAATTACTGGAGTGGAGATGTAAGCAGGAGTGCCGAGTTGAAGCCGTCAAACCATGATGACATGTTTGGATCATTAGATTCTTCCTTGTTGTCTCAGTTGCAGGGTGGCTCGCTAAAAACTTCTCAGGTTCAATCTCCGACCGGGATGCAGATGCGCCAAAATATGAACCAACTCCGTGCAAGCTACCCGGCTAACTTAGCATCCTCACCTGTAAAGAAGCCCTCCTCTTTTGGCTTTGATTCATCAAGTGCAGTGGCAGCTGCTGTGATGAACTCAAGGTCTGCTGCCTTTGCAAAACGAAGCCAAAGTTTCATAGATCGAGCTGCAGTGCCTCGTCTTCCCGGGTTTACCACAGCTGCAAACTCTGCAGCTACAATGTCTTCCCATCTCTCAGGTTGGAATTCACCCGATGGCAAACTAGACTGGGGAGTACACAGCAACAATCTCAACAAACTCCAGAAATCTGCTTCGTTTGCGATCCGAAACAATGGCATAGGAGGTCCCACAACCTTTGAACCATCCGCAGGGGAGCCCGATGTCTCTTGGGTTAACTCCTTGGTTAAAGACGTTCCCTCCGACAGCTTCGAGCAGTTCGGTCCGAAGAAGCGGCAATACAACCTCAAAAGAGAAATCAGCGAGATGCTCCCATCCTGGATGGAGCAGCAGTTGTATGCAGAGCAGGAGCAGATAGTGGCATAAGCAAAAACTGGCCAAATCCTTTCCCTACTTTATGCTAACAATATCAAGTTGATCACATTTCATTCAATATTTGATTACAGAAATTATAGCTTAAGTTATTAGTAAAGAGACTATTCTAGTTCAAGAAAAGCCCTGAAGTTTCAGCAGGGTGTCGATCGATCTTCAGAAAGATCAATAACAATCTGATGATCGGATCAGTAAGATATGTTCGTATTCATTTCATTGTATAATATTCTATTTGTTAATTTTTTTTTCTTTCTCCATTTTGGGGCTGATTATAAGAAGAACATGTATCTTTTTCACTCTAGTATAATGAGGAAAACATAATGTTTCCAGTAACTCTGCATTGTTCTTCAGATTATCTGAGTGACTTAACTAAGACAAGAAAATCATTGCCAGAAGAGTGAAGAAGATGATAATGGAGGATGGCAGCCAGGCAGGCACAGCCAGAACCAGAAGAGTGACAGCAAACCAAAACCTTTGCTGCTATTATTGTATAGGGTTGGGACAGATTTGAGGTTGTCGGATTGGGCTGTGGCCTCACTTGGTTCTTTTTCTTAGCCGCCCAAAACATGTTTTTTCTTCAAGATTCCTATTTGTAGCTGACTTTTTTGTTCAACTCATTTGGTGTAACATAAGGTCCCATGTGGATTCGAAACATTCTTTATAAATGATGTTGAAACCTCCTCATAGTAGACACGTTTTAAAAACCTTGAGGGAAAGCTCGAGAGAAAAAGCCTAGAGAGGACAATATGCTGGTGGTAAGCTTGGACCATTACAAATGGTATTAGAGCCAGACACTGGACTATGTGCTAGCAAAGAGGCTGAGCCCCGAAGGGGGGAACGCAAGGCAGTGTGCGAGCAAGAACGCTGAGCTCTGAAGGGGGTGGATTGAGCAGTCCCACATTGATGAGAGAAGGGCATGAGGCTTGAAGGGGGTGGATACTAGGCGGTGTGCTAGCAAGAATGTTGGGCCCCGAAGGGGGTGGATTGGACGATTCCACATCGATTAGAGAAGGGAAGGAGTGACATCAAAGATGTTGGGCCATAGATCCTATATCGATTGGAGAGGAAAATGAAACATTATGGAAAGTTCCTACTAACATTTTTTACAAACGCGTTTTAAAAATATTGAGCAGAAGCTCGGAAGGAAAAATCTAAAAAGATAACCGTAGCTTCGACGGCTCAATGTAATAAATAATAATTAAAAAAGAAATTGAATTGTGGAGTTATTAAGCAAACAAGAATCGACTTGCCAGCATTTATCACAAGACATCTAGTTTCACCTATCGTTTATGAACACGAAGCACACAGCATTATCTCCAAATTTCCAGTCGCTTTGGCTTCAAATCAGGTAATTTTTTCACCTCATTACGAATCCATTTCACTCATTTCAACGAGGGTTTGTCAAATTTTAGTTGCATTTTTGTTTTTCAGTTTACCCATTGAGAATAAGTTTCACCGGCTAAGCAAATCAATAATTGATTGCTCATTCATTTGAATCAAAGTTTGATTAGAAATAAGATCGTGAAGAAAAGGGGCAGAACAATGATTTCAGGTATGATTATACAATTTTGTTCTAAATTTTTTGAGGTTTTTCCATTCACCTGCAATGCCCACTTACTGTTCGACGAATTGCCCAAATGACTTGCAGTGCATTCTCACTGCTTCTCTACCGCTTTAATATCCCCTCATGGCGGTCATATAAGGGTTCGTATATGATTCACCACTGTCAAATGGAGTTTGAAAGAAGAAGTGTATGTCATTTAATTGTTTTTTTTTATTTTGTCTTTCTAATCATTTAGAATCTCTTTAATAGATTTATATATTGAATTATCCACACAAACAACTGCATTCTGGAGGTGTTTTCTTTGCTGTTCAAATCGAACTGTTTGATTCTTTGATCATGGGGTTTCCCAACATTTTCCTATGAACAAATTGCCTTTCCTTATAGTTTAAACCACTGATATCATAATCTTTTTCATATTGCCAGGCTTGACCATTGGAAGCTGCATTCGGCCAAAAGTTGCGAATGTGTATAGAAAGCACCAGTTTCATGGTACGTGTTTGCTCCATTTATCTTCAGTACCTCAATATCTGAAGGTTCCAATTAAGATATGCTCAACTTAACAATGTTCACTCATTTCTGAACCACTGCTCTGCCTTTTACTTGGTTTTTTGACATCAATTTATGGATTTTGGAAAAATTTTACTTTCTGCTCTTACATTAGTTTTGTTTCTTTGCAGGTTTGAATAGGGACAGTTCACACATTGGGAGAAAGTGGCCTTGTCAAAAGAAAAAGGTTACCAGTAGCGTTTCTAATCAAGAGAATGTATCTTCAAACCTTGAACGTCATAGAAAGGACAAGGTTCTTGTTAAGATGTGCGGTATTGCATCAGCGAAAGATGCCGCTTTGGCAGCAGAATCTGGTGCTGATTTCATTGGGATGATTATTTGGCCAAACTCAAAGCGTTCTGTTTCATTCTCAGTTGCCAAGGAGATATCCAGAATTGCAAGACAAAATGGTGCACAGCCTGTCGGAGTGTTTGTCGATGACGATGTTGAAAAAATATCTCGAGCTGCTCATACATGTGACCTTGAATTTGTGCAGGAACGTCTTTTTGTTGACCTGATCTCCTTGTGTACAGAAATAGCTAGCTTTCTTACTCTGAATGATTTGGATTCACAGCTTCATGGAGATGAATCACAGGAAGCAATGCCCCTTCTAGTTAAAGATCATAGAATTATTTATGTTCTGAATGCAAATGAAGATGGAAGCCTTCTAAATGAGATCTCTTTTGAGGACTGTTCTTTAGTAGATTGGGTTCTTGTTGACAGTGCCAAAGGTGGCAGGTACCTTCAAACTTCCTCCTCAATGTGCTGGTTTAAAACAAATTTGTTAATATGTCTCCAAATATCTACATGGTGTTATAAGATTTTCATTAAATAAACAACACTCCCACACGAGTTAGAGATCATCAGCAACTAGTTAAGACATATTCTCAACTAAATTGTGAGATCCCCCATCGGTTGGAGAGGATAACGAAGCATTTTTATAAAAGTGTGGAAACCTCTAGTAGCAGACGCGTTTTAAAAACCTTGAGGGGAAGCTCGAAAGAGAGCCTAAAGAATACAATATATGTTAGCAGTGGACCTAGATCCATTACAAATGGTATCAAAGCCAGACATCGGGCGATGTTTCAGCAAAGAGGTTGTGCCTAAAAGGGGGTGGACACGAGACGGTGTGCCAGTAAGGACATTAGCTCCCGAATGAGGGTAGTTGAGATCTCACATTGGTTGGGGAGGAGAATTGAACATTTTTAGTAAGGGGGTGGAAACTTCTCCCAAGCAAGGGGCAGCCCAAGAATAAAAGTCCAAAGATAACAATATTTACTGTTTGATAAGCTTAAACTGTTGCATAAATGGTTCAAATCTGCACTAACTAATACACGGAGTCGTACCAAAAAAAATCCTAGAAGTGAATTTTATGTTAAGTTGAGTGGCTATATTAAAATATTGGAAAGCACTGTTCGGAGTCCTAAATAAACAGATTCAGACTCTTATTTCCACGACCAATCACATCAGCTACTGAAATGAATTATTTCTACGTGTTTATTTTGATGTATTAGCTACCCATTCCTATCGAAACCCTCTAATAAATTGACAGAACGTGTTGATTTTGACTTAGTAGCAGCAGCCATGAAACTTTTCTTCCTGCATATCACATGGCCAAATTAATTAACTCTTTCCTTCTCTGTTGAATGCAGTATGGCCAAATTAATTAACTCTTTCCTTCTCTGTTGAATGCAGTGGGAAGGGATTCAATTGGGCCCAGTTTGAGGTACCAATAATTAGAAGTAAACAAGGTTGGCTCTTGGCTGGAGGGATCAATCCAGCGAATGTGTCTCAAGCCCTATCCCTTCTGAACCCTCGAGGCGTTGATGTTAGCAGTGGAATTTGTGGCTCAGATGGGATTCAGAAGGATCTTACTCGAATCAACTCATTTCTTAAGGCTGTTCATTCAGTGAAGTATTGATCAACAAAGTTGGGTATCCGATTTTCTTAATAATCATTTTGTTAATTTTCTGCTTCTGCTTCTGCTTTGAGTTTAGTTCATGAAATTGTGGGATTTACTGAATGTTTTGGAACAATTCAAAAACAAATGACTCATCCCATGTAATGTAACACCATTGTGATTGGTGTTACAGCATCCATATATTTTCACTAATAGTTATTGAACAGAATTCAAGCAAAACTAATGCCAATTTTTTGTTTCATATGGCAATAATAATATGTAAATATGAATACTATCATATCATGAACAGAGCTTCTTCTCCCTTGGAAGTTTATTCGAGGTCAAACTCGAATGGCTCACGAACTATTAGAAAAGAATTTTGATATACGGGTGATGAGCAGTATCTCAGTCTAGTTGCTTTGATCAAGAAAGGTCGGGATCGGTCTGATAATATACAATGTCCCCAGAATCGCTCACAAAGTGATCCTTTTTCATGCTTTTTACTAGAACTCCCAATAAGTGAAAGGGGAGAGGCCATGATTTCTCTGGTTGCCGATAATACTTTCCGAGCACTGGTTTTGTTGCCTCGGTCTAACACGATAAGATTGCAGTTTCAATGAGAATTTAGAAAATATAGGGTAAAAAGAAGTTTTGAGTTTCAGATACAAGATTGAGAAGAATACTCACTGCTTCTATAAGGTGATAGTGTGGGATCTGAGGGAAGAGATGGTGAATGACATGGGTTCCAATGTCGTGGTGGATGTTGTTGATCCATCCGTAATCGCGATCGAGGGTGGTTAATCCTCCTCTTAAGTAACTCCATTCCTGTTCGATCATCAAATATAGAGCCAGACAAGTTCATAAATGGTGTCAAACATAACACTTTATGATGTGTTCTTGTTCGAAAAGATTGATAAGCGTACCTCTCCACGGTACCAAGGAAGTTTATCGTCGTGACCATGGTGATGCAGGTATGTGACCACATCCAGCCACATGACAAACATCTACATTTGGAAAACATTCAGACAAGTGTACAAGTGAGTGATTGTATCCAAAGAAGTATTCACCATGAATTCGTGATCGAAACTGAACTCACCACGTAGGGAATTCCGTAAAGTTTGAGGATTTGGAGAGGACCCATAACTACAGATAAACACCCAAGCAGAGCAAGCATTGCAGTCCAACATACAGTAGATGTAATGATATCATTCCGCTCGCTCGGGACAAACAAATCACTATTCGGGTCGAAATGAGAGCCCTTCTTACCAGGACTTCTACTCCACTGTAATATCACCAACAGGATGCATTAGAATCCATCTAAACATTGGCAGAACATTGAAGTTCTTACAAAATGATGACGAAACAGAGTGTACCAACCAGATAGACAGGGTATGCAAGCATGGGGAAAGGCAAAGTGAACCTCAATGTTCTTGTTGCTTTATCCAAAGTCCTAAAGATTTTCTCTGACAACTACAAAACAGATAGGAACACATTGCTATTGAATGAGGCTCAACAAAATGATCATCTCTAGTTACAAACTGCCTCCTTGATATAAAGAATCCAGAAGTGCTAGACTATAAAGAACTTACAGGATGCCATGATTCGTCGTTTTCGACATGGCCGTGGTTCTGGTGATGAGTTCTATGGCTTATTCTCCTGAGTTAACATGTAAAACAGAGAGTTAATGCTACAGAGAAGAACAATTGACCAAAGATATTCAGAAACTAACCATCCATGATATGGAACTAGAATTGAAGAATGAAGAATATGGCCAACAACACTGTTCAGCTTTGGATCGTTAGAGAAGCTTCCATGGCCACTGCACATTCACCAACCAAAGCAAACCACATAGAATTCAGGCATAGGAATTCGAAGACAAAAAGCAAGCAAAGATATTCAATAGCTTCAATGTAGAAAAATTACCAATCATGACCAAGAACAAAAAGAGCCCAAAACATGGTTCCTTGAGCAAACCAGTAAAGAGGCCAAACAACCCAATTGTTGAAGTAAGCAGCAACAGCTGCCAAGCCAAACACCACAACCACATCCCTCACAACATAGCTCATTGATCTCCAAGGATCCTTAACCCAACAATGCTTCGGAATGGCAGCCCGAATATCGGCCAACCGAAACGGCGGTGCAGCAGCCGGGTCGAATCCACCCTCATTCTCAACCCCATCAACCTTATCCTTCTCATTATCCTCATCAACAGAAGCAACTCTCGCGGGGGCACTCACATTCAGCGCCCAACTCTTCCCCTTAGTGGAAAGACTCAAAGAAGAACGGAGAAAGTTGGGTTTAGAGGGCACCGATGAGAACCTAATCTCAGACACCATGTAAGTCCTAGAAGCAAGTCCATTCCTAGAAGGGCGAGGGTAGATCCTGGGAAGGGGCTTAACACCACATTCAGATAAGACCCACCTCGCCATTAGAGACCCAGATGAGAAAAACACAGGTATCCTCCTCAAGTGGCTCAAGATAAAGAAGAAAAACAGATGGGGCTACACACACAAACCCTAAAATAAAAAGGAAATCAGAAGAAGATATGAGATAACACAGCCAAGAATCTGGCTCATTCACTTACAACCATAAATCCCAACTTGTGCTTCTTGTTGATTGTCCTCTAACTTGGTCCCTCTCTGTCTCTCTCTCTCTGTCTAATTTATAGTCCACCATTCATATCAACGACTGTTCCTCCTCCGTCTACAAGGCAACTTTTTAGACGTTGATTGGAATTTCCAAGCAAATGGGTCGGGCTTCAGATTTCAGAGAGGCATGCCCACTAAAAAAAAGTTGTGAAAAACGCAAAAATGTGCAGATTTGAAAGGGACGTAACGATTTGTAATTGGGTAATTGAAGGGTGGGGTGGGAAGGGAGGAGGACGGTGACGTGGTCAAATCGATATCGTAAAATTTGGCCATGTTTTTCTAATTGATTGTGTTTTGTAGGCCGACTACTGAGTAGGGGTCGGAATTTGAAAGTCAAGTTTCACACCTCTGCAAAAATTATGATCTTCTCCTATGAACTCTGAAGCCTTTTATTTTAGGTTGAATTTGAACCACTTTTCTCCGTCCAATTCTTGAATCTCTCGATTATTCAATTTAGCCTTTATAATTTGAAAACAAATTAAAATTTGATCCAGTATTAGTCAAAGGATAATTAATGTGAGCTTTACGATTGTAATTATTATTCTTGTTAAACATTAACTTTTCTCTCTTCTTTTCTAATTAATTATTTCAAAAATGTTTTTTACTTTTAGTTTTGAATAGAAACTATTTGTGCTTTGTTTTAAAAATACTTTTACTGTTTATGGCTTCGATCTATAGGGTCATGCTTGGTTGCCAATAACTACGATGCAAAGTTTGGAGGCATGGCTAAGGCATATGACACGCAATCCTGATGGAGCAAAGCAGAGCCAATGGCACCAAGCTGGTTCAATCTAGCAAGAACAAAAGAGTTTTTACGACTCCAAACCAAATACCTGTTATCTCACAGTTGCCACCATTTACGAGCCACTTCCTTGCCCATATCTGCAAAGTAAGAGGTATGGATTGAACAAGAAAAGTAAGAATCAAACATGATATGTTGAATGCTCTAAGTTCCACACTAAATTGAATAGGAGAAGAATCAAACATGGTGATCATCCTAACTTGTTTTGCGGTTGGCTATGTCTACATTATGTTGTTTCAGAAGTCCAAAGAGAGAATCATTATGGAGCAAATCTATCCGAACCTTAAATCTCTTGAACTTAAAAGCTTTAATATTTCTTGACACCTAAACTATGAGATCCTATATTGATTGGAGAGAAAACGAGTGTCAGCGAGGACGCTGAACTCCGAAGGTGGATTGCGAGATCCCACGTTGGTTGAAGAGGAAAATGAAACATTTTTTATAAGAGTGTGAAAATCTCTCCTTACAGACGCGTTTTAAAAACTTTGAGGGAAAAGCCAAAAAATGGCAATATCTGCGGGTAGTACAATTGATCTATCACTCCGTTCAACAGCATTTTTTTGATGACATTCATATCTCATAGGAGACCAAAACCTATTATGTTCCTTGGAAGATGTAAAGATAGAGGGAGGTTGTAATTGAAAAACAGACATCAAGCTTCTGCTGTCGTTCTAATAGCTTATTCCTTGCTTCTACAGCTACCGGATAAGCACTCTGGAAAAACTTTTAATAGTCAGAGAACATTCATGATTCACCAAAGAAAGGTAAAGACAATTCCAAATCATCATAACTAATACCCCAGCTTTTCTATATTTGGCCTTAATTTCTTCTGCTGTCCTCATTTTACAGGTTCATCAATTTTAATGTAATCCATATCAGAAAGCAATGCAAGAGATTATTTTATTTGGGCTTTCTCTTGATGTTTTTAAAAGACGTTTATTAGGGAGAGGTTTCCACACACTTATAGAGAATGTTTCGTTCTTCCCTCCAACCGACGTGCGATCTCACAATCCACTACCTTTCGAGGCCAATGTCTTCACTGACACTCGTTCCTCTCTCCAATCGATGTGGGATCTCACCATTCACTCCCTTCGGGGCCCAGCATCCTCATTGGATGCTGACACTCGTTCTCCTCTCCAATCGATTTGGGATCTCTCAATCCACCGTTTTGGGGTCCAGTGTAAGCTAGTACACCGCTCAGTTTCCACTCCCTTTGGGGCCCAACTTCCTCACACCACAAGGTATCACTCCGTTTGGGGCTCAATGTCCTCGTTGACACCCAAAAGAGAAAGTCCAAAGAAGACAATGTCTGCTAGAGTCGTTACATTAAATGGTTACACTAAATGAGCACGGTAAAAGCACAAGAATAGAATCTATAAGCGGTGGAAAGTCCACACCTTAGAGGGAACTGCCTATGCTCCACATCCCAAACTTCTCATTATCAAAGACAAATGAAACAGATGAGTTGTTGGTGGAAAAGAAAGTAAGTAGAATATAGTACAGAAACCCAATGCCCATTTCTGGTGGCATGCTAAAGACAATCTAAAAGACCCATAACATACCTCTGGGTAGGCAACTCCTTGGGAGCTGATATGCAAAACATGAGAATTCAGAAGCCATTAGGGACACAAAGAAGCACCCAAACCAGACAACAAACAACTTACAGGCTACCTACATCTGATTGCTACAAAATTCATTTAAACTTTTGTTAACCCAATTGGTAAACTAGAATATAGCTTAATTAACAGCCCTAGCATTGAGCTAAAGAAACCATGCGAAATGAAAGTGTCCCCA